CAACATGGCACAAGTATACATATGTAACAAACCTGCACGTTATGCACATGTACCCTACAACTTAAAGTATCATAATAATAAATAAATTAAAAAAAAAAAAAAAAAAAGAAATGTGATCTAAAATCAGAGGAGCAACTCATACACCCAGGAATCAGTGTCAAAGAAGGTAGTAAATGCTACTGTATGTTTCTCATGCAAAACACCAGAAGGATTTATACCATTATACTACTAATATTCACCATGATCTTTAACTTGCCTGATAATTGAGTAGGTACACGATGACAATGACACTTCTGTAGAATGTACACTTCACAAGTCCTCAGTGGAAGTGTCTCAGCTTCATCAGTTTGGATATAAGTTTGGATAATCCTAGTATATAATATTCTTTATTTCTCAAACCCATGTCGTGTAATAATGTGCCTACGTTTGTTGTGTCCTCTAATTTAGCCTACAGAACAGTTCTTCATCCATGCATGGCAACAAAGTATAATATATAAACCTTATCAAAAAGTATAATAAATGATCAAATTTGTCATACTTATGCAAAATAAAGTTGCTACAAGCATTACACATGAATAACCTTTTACATTTGGAAATCACTCCAATATTCATTGAAAATAACAATTTTAAAAGTCAATTAATGAATTCAAAATTATTTTTGTTTCTAAAATAGTCTGATTTGAAGTATCACGTTATTCTCTAAAGCATTTTTATTAAATTGCTATTTTATCCAAATGCTACCCCTTGAAAAACAAAGCCAATATATGCATATTCATGTTTAGCTCATTTGAATAACTAATATCAACAAAACACATATCTCTGATGCCCAACAGTAACAAAGAGGAGTAATGAGTCACTGTGGCTTATCCCAGTTCTAGTACTCCTTCCTGCTTCCACTGGTTCCCACAGCAGCCAAAATCAAATCTTCTTTTAGGCAAATGTTTGAATATGCATCTGAACTCAGGTTTCCTCAGAAGAAATAACAAAATTACATAAATAACTCCCTCTTTTCCCTCCTTCCTGCCTCACAATCCCTCTTCCTTGAGGAAAGTAATTGCTACCTCAGTGGTCTTGTTAGTTCTCGTTCTACAGCGTTTACGGGTTATTAGCATCATTTTTTTGTCTGTTTTTAGCAATACTAGCAATACAATGTAACCTCTGTAAAATCTATACTTCATCTCTTTCTCCTTCTACCCGTAGTGAAAACATCCTGCAGAATTAAAGCAAAATTATGCTGTCCCCTGAGCCCCTTATGTCTTGACCTGTTCTCCAATGTTTCTTCTTCCCAATTTCAATGTGGGGAAGTCTGTAATCTCACTGCAAAGATCATGTCCAAGACCAGCAGCATCAGCATCACCCGAGAACTTATTACAAATGAAGAATCTCAGGCCTGCTGAATCAGAATGTGCAGCATCAATGAGCCCCTCGCTGATTTATTTGGAGAAGAGAAGTTCTTTTCTATCTTGACTGAACATGACATTATGTGTTTTGCAAAATTACCTGTTCCAGATTGCTGTCCGTCCTTCACTGCTGTGGTTATATTCGAAACAGAATCTTCCTTATCACTTGTAGCCTGAATGGAATTTGAAGCAAAATAATCAATAAATAAAGTATGTTTCATAGACTATACATTTACTAGTTCAAAATATAAATGAGATTTTAATCACCTTCAAGGCTGGTTGTTTCTGGGAAGACACTGAAAAGCAAAAGGGATACATAATCACTCATATGTAAATATGATAAATTTATTCATACATTCATGTAGTGTTAGCATCAAGCTGTATCTTCCTGCCTGTATTAGTGTAGGCTTTGATGTTTTCTACTTTGTGTCTGGAGACCGAAACATGATAGAAATACACTGAAAGAAAAGGAATACAGGCTTCACAAAATATACCCTTACAATTTCAAACACGGTATGATTTGTCATATGTCTAAAACTAAAGTAAAACCATGTCAATATCAATGTGGATATGCCGAGTGATGAGGACAAATGTGATCTAAAATCAGAGGAGCAACTCATACACCTGAGAATCAATGTCAAAGCAGGTGGTATACGATCCCTCATGTCTTTCATGCAAGAAATTAGGATTTACACCATTATACCACAAACATTCATTATGCTTTTTAACATTTCCAATAACTGGGAAGATACATGATTACAATGACACTTCAGTTGAATGTACACTTCACGTCTCTTCAGTGGAACTGTCCTAAATTGATCAACTTGGATATATGTTTCCTGAAATCTAGTAGATAATATTCATCATTTCTCACACCCATGTGGTGTAATAATTTGCCTAAGTTTCTTTTATCCACTAGTTGAGCCTTCCAAAAGATTCTTCATCCACTCATGGCAACAAAGGATAATATATTAGCCTCAATAAAAATATCATCAATTATCAATTTTGACATACTTCTACAAAGTAAAACTGAAACAAGCATTAGATATTAGTAAGTTTTACATTCAGAAATCACTCTAATATTCATTGAAAATGATCATTTTAGGAGTTAATTAGAATTCAACATAATTTTTGTTTCTAAAATAGTCTTCTTGAGAGTATCATACTATTCTCTAAAGAGGTTTCATTAAATAGCTATTTTATCCAAGAGTTAGCTCCTTGAACAAGGAAGGCAATGTATTCACATTCAAGTTTATCTCATTTTTATAACTAATATCAACAAAACATGTATCTCTGATGCCTAATAGTAACAAAGAGGAGTAAGGAGTCACGTTGGTTTCTCCCAATTCTAGCACTGTTTCCTTCATCCAGTAGTTCGTGAAATCAAATCTTCTTCTATGCAAATATTCCAAAAGCATCTGAAGTGAGTTCACTCAGGTTTCCTCAGTAGAAATCCCAAAATTACATAAATACCTTCTTCTTTTCCATCCTTCCTGCCTCACAATCCCTATTCCTTGAGGAAAATAATTGCTACTTCAGTGATCTTGTTAGTTCTCATTCTACACTGTTTATAGGGTATTAGGATCACTTTTCCCTCTATTTATAGCAATACGATCTGATGCCTATAATAATCTGTTACTTCATCTCTTTCACCTTCCCCTCTTGATGGAAACATGCAGTAGAATTAAAGCAAAATTATTCTGTCCCCTGAACCCCTTATGTGTTGAACTGCTCTCCAATGGTTCTTCTTCCCAATTTCAATGTAGGGAAGTCTATAATCTTACTACTCAGATCATGGTCAAGGACCAGCATGAGGGTCACCCAAGAACTTACTACAAATGAAGAATCTCAGGTGTACTGAATCAGAACATGCAGCTTCAACAAACCCCAAGCTGATTTACTTGGGGAAGGGAAGTCCTCTTCTATCTTGATTGAACATGACACCAGATGTGTTTTGCAAAATTACCTGTCCCAGATTGTTGTCCATCATTTATTTCTGTGGCTATATTCACAAGAGAATCTTTCTTGTCACTTGTAGCCTGAATGGGATTTTAAACAAAATAATCAATACATAAAGTATATTTCATAGACTATACAGTTAATAGTTCAAAATATAAATGAGAGTTTAATTACCTTCCAGGCCGGTGGTTTCTGAGAAGACACTGAGAAATAAAAGGGGCACATTATCAATCATATGTATATACAATAAAGTTATCCATATATTCATGCAGTGTTAGCATGCAGCTGCATCTACCTGCCTATATTACTGTAGGTTTTGATGTTTTATACTTTGTGTCTTAAGGCAGGAACATGACTGAAATACACTGAAAAAAACAGGAATACAAGCTTCATGAAATATACACTAACAATTTCCAACATATGAGTTTTCATACATCTAAAACTAAAATAGAACAGTGTCAATATCAATAAGGATATGCAGAATGATGCGGACAAATGTGATC